TCTCTCTCTCTCTCTCTCTCTCTCTCTCTCTCTCTCTCTCTCTCTCTCTCTCTCTTCTTCTCTTGTTTTTTTCTCTTTATATTTTTCTTCTTATTGTACGTGACGTATCGATAATCGCGACTCGAGAAACAATCGGAAATTTCGGGGAGTGGATGGAACGTGAACCTCGATCGATGTCCGTGCGCAGACTGCCCGCACCATCGTCGTCGGTTGCCTCGCGTTCGTCATACTACGGTCCCTCGTTGCGTCTTTCTCTCGCGCATGTTTCCGCTCTTTCGTTCTTTCCCCCACCACATGCTCCCATCTCCCGTCCCGCTCACACATGCACGAATTTCCCTTTAAAATTAATTAATTACATAATAATTATAATTTTTATTAAAATGTAAAAATTAACAAGAGAAGTATAAGTTAATGTACAGTAATATGCAATAATAGAAGAAATGTACCTCAAAAGGCATATCAGCATAATGTTATCTTGAAGTCTAAATTTATAATAATTACAAAAACAGTAATTACAGATAACAATTACAAAAACAAAATTACAGATAATAACACATTGTATGAAAACAAAATCATATATCTATATATTTGCATATACATTAATAGAAATAAATTACAGAATAAATTACAGAATAATAAAACAGAAAAAAAATTGTAACGAAAAAATAATATTATTTATCGCTAAGAATTTTTTAATGTTAAGTGCAATAAATTTTTTGCTACCGAACTTTTTATGCTATTGATAATACTATATATTATACGTTGTCATATGATAAGAAAAAATATTCAAGAAGATTTAGGAGTAATTCATTTTGATATTAACATGTGGCAATAGTGCAGAGATTATCGTGGGCTAATTGCATTAAAACATAATAGCTAAACGCACAACTGACAGTAATTTAAAGTTCTTCACGTGCCTTTTAAGCCAATGACACCTACAAGTTTTTCGTAGGATGTCACTTCTTTCATCATTTTCTTTTCTCCGGTATTCAGTTCATTCTCTCCATAAATATCATATTAAGTAACAACATTCATATAATTATTATTTAACAACATTATTTATCATTTCTCTTATATAATCTCACAAAAATTTTGCCAAATTTTATGTTATAAAGAATATAGTTACAATATAAAATACAAATATACACATAAATTTTGCATTAATTTTGTAAATTTGTGATAATTACATTTAATTTTATAAAAAAAAAATTTAATGTTTCTATCGTTTATATTAATATTTCCATTGTTTATATATTATTTAATTAATAACATATTATATGTCAGTTTATGCACTAAGAAACATCTGTTTAATAATTATAATATTTAAAATAATTCCAAAATTTTCGGCGAGATTAAATTCACTATTATTATTAATATATTTGAAATCAGTAATAAATTCATATAAAAATAATGAATTCACATAAATCATTTTGTTAGCACTTGTATCTTCATATTTCTGAAAATTGTACAATTATTAATAGATGAGTCGAAAGTTACATAATCAATAATAATACGTAAAACGATTTCACAATCAAGAAATTTATTTAAACTACACAATGTATTTTGTTCCACTCGGTTGGAGGTCTAAGTCCGAAGCTCGTTGTCGGTTGACGAGACATCATTAAGATTCCGTACGTCAATTTCAAAACCAACTGACATTTGTTCTTTGTAAGTGTGAGTTAGAAGAAGGGCACCACACCCAAGGTTGGTGTTTTCCTCGTGTAGACATGGCAACTGATAAACTTTGATCGCCATCTGTATTCGAGAATAAATATTCTTTATTTTAGCGCTATTTTAGCGTTCATATAATAGCTTTCAGAATAATTAACACAAGAATAAACGCTGATAATAGATTTAGAAATAGAGTAATAATTAATGTAATACGATGCTTCCTGTTCAGCAATAGAAGGATTGTATAAATGATTGTTGAGATTCATTTAGTAATTGTACGTTTCATCATAAGATATTGCACTAATAATAAATTAAATCACGCTATAAATGCTTACAAGATTTCGATCTTTATAGAAATTAATAAATTTAATAAAAAACGAAAGTTCTATTATTTTTTATTACTTCTAAGAATTTTAAAGCAAAACATGCTTACGATAAAAATAGAACAAAATAATTTCAGAAATAATCAAAGAAACTGACAGGCGTGGAAAAACAATTTCGTAATTAATGCAAAAACAAATGTAACGAATTAAGAACAAATAGCCGGTGAAATTATGAAGGGTTTATAGCTGCTGCATCGCAATTACGTTTGTTCGAGAATGATGAGCATTGCGTTTCGTCTTTGGAAGCGGTCGCGCTGAGGATCGAAGAGCCTCTCTGCTATTCTATATGAGAATCTTAGCTCGTTTAAGATAAGTAACTGCTACGCAAAAACTGGAGATTCCACTGATATTTGTCCTTTTTTCATTCCACCTGTATATTTTCTTCTTCTAATTTTTTATCGCTTCGTTCGAAGAGCGATGACAGAAGTCTCCACTAGATGCATAATGTATATAATTCCGATGTAATCTAAATTCTAAAAATATATATGTCAAACTACATATTCACAAAGTTATTAAGAGATAATTATCGCATTACAAATGCATGCAAAGTACAATTCAAAATGCAAGAAGATACCCGGGAAAAAATATTAAATAACATATTATATATATAATTATATATA